GGCATGTATGATAGTGCAGCATCACAGCTTCTCCCAGTGTAAATAGAAGTGTGGTATTACCTTGACCCTGGAAAGCTTGATCCTTAAAGTCTGATTTTGATATGTTATTAGGTGATTCTAGGGCATGTTTGTCTTTATGGTAAGATATTTTTTGCCCAATGAGTTGCTACAGTGCCAGAATTCCTATGGATTTTTTTTCATTTTCTGCAAAGAAGATTGCAGAGTAGCCAAATTTGCCATAACACTAACTACTGACTGAAAACATTAGCCACTCAATTACAGCAGATAAAGGATCCCTTTGGGGTTTCTCACAGGATCTTATAGCACTTTCTGTGCCACTAAACATAAGAGAAGTATTTCTCACAAGTTCATTTTGCATTACTCTTTCCTGACATTCAAAAGAATTAAGAAGAATACTTTGGTGGAAAATGACTCTCCTTTATTAGACTATATTTTTTTAAAGTTAAAGCATCTGTGTATCTTTAAAAACAGTACCCATAAAGAGGTTTTACAAACGATGAAGAAAGTAACATAAACAACATGGAATTTATTTCAGTGTTTTTGGTGATATTTTGCTAGACCGGCTTCATCATCCGTGCAAACAAACAACTTCCGTAGATTTCCCTGTCTTACCATTTCTGCTCCTCTATCCTACCACAATAGGGGTGATGCTTAGGAGGCCCACAAAAGTTTCAGAACTAACATTTGGCAGTTGTAGTACAATAACTATGACACATTGTAATAGCTCAACATTGTTTTAACTGCTTGACACCGGTAAGTGAAAACACATGCCGAGTTTAACCTCTGCTTAAAAAGAAGTATTACATAACATGACCAGGGCCAACAAATTTAGCAAAGAATAAAATTAGCCCATTCCCTTTACACATGTCAACCTTACACTTGGAAATGTTACAGTGTTCCCACTCAGAAAGGATGACAGTTATAATTAGCCTAAATACAGATCTTAACTAGCAGATATCTACCATGCTTTCTAACACACCTGTATCTTAAAAGGGGAAAAGAAATCTAGGTAGTGTTATCTCTGTTTTTAAGCAATACTACTACATGGTCTACCAGTACAGTAAAACTGTAATCTCTCCTGCTAAGAAAGGACATCTGACAATCATAGAAAGAAGAAAGTTTTCGATCTGGATTTTGATCTGGATTTCTCTACATATGTGTAAATGTGTAAGTAACATCAAGGCTGTGTTCTTCACTTCTAAGAAGGCAGCAACAAGAATGAAGATGAATTAAAGTTTCCTTAGCCTTTCCTGGAAAGCAGAATGAGGATGGGACTGAATCCTGGAAAGGAAAGCATGGATGTGCCTGAATTTCAGTCTACCCAGTGACTAATTCAAATAGTAGGAAAACCACAGATAATAACCTGAGGTCAGAAACATGGCAAAACCAATAAAATATCATGCTCTTGTTTAACTTACAAATTTATAACTCTGTAAGCTTAAAAAAAGATTGACCTTTTTTTTTTCAACTCTAACAAATGGAAATAGAGCATGAAGACATACAAAAGCTATCAGAAACAGARACGATATTGAAAATCACTACATTTATGCACATCTGTGCTGTAACTGGAAAGTCAACTGACAAAATCAAAACCATAAAAAGCTGTTTTACCAAACACTAAGAACTTGTTCTACAACTGTTGCCTTCAAAACTATTTGGATGTGGTCCAATTGCAAAGATGTCAGTGAAGTATGGTTTACAAGACAGTACAATCTTGTGCACTATGTCCTGTAACTTGTTTATTTTTGATTCTGTAGGGTTGCTTTTTCATCTCCCTCTTAGTTACAGGATGCTCTACTTATTAACTCATTCCCTGAAAGCAAGTGAGGATTTTTTGGGTTTTTTTTTGTACTGTATTTTGATACAGAATTTCTTTGAGGATGGAATATTTCTGTTTAATAGAATCCTACAGCTCATCATGCTTTCTCCARTTATCAACTCCAACATTTATGCACTGCAATTGCTTCCTTCTGTGAAGCGTTCCCATCGTGTTATCTCCAGTACAACAATATTGAACTGAAGCATTACAGTCTGGATTTTGGATACTGCTGGCATAACGGTATAAGGGAACAGACAAAAGCAAAACTTTAGGAGCTGAACACAAATGAAAGGGCAATGTCTTAAAAATTAATAAAGACCACTGAGAGTATCATCACCTTCTCTGCTCTTCTGTCACCTCTCACGCAATCAGAGCACAGAATTCTTTYAGTATTCATTCCTTAAATAGAAACTCATGGGATACAAACATAATAAATATATAAAAGAAGAAAATAAGCCACTGCCTTCACATCAAAACCCGCTAACGTTGCCTTTCCAATTACACTACCTTTACTTCCACCTGTAAAATCACACTGCAAATTCTGAATATGACACAGCTTATAAATATCTAATCCCTTGCTATACTGAATGCGACAAAGAATTGCAAAAAGAAGGGTATCCACCTGTGCTTAGGGCACTATACTAGGACCAGAGATAGCAAAGGCTTATTTTCTATGTAGGTAAGACTATTGTAACACAGTAGTATAAAAGTAGATTAAGTACTGCTATATGATAAGTTCCCACTGGAAATATCAACCATCTCCCTGAAATCAAAATAACTCTCTTTAGAACAACACTTCTAGTTAAGCATGCACTCACGGAGGTAAAAATAYAGAAGTATCTTGAAAAGCAAATTGTGTGTGTTCCAGCCTCCTGAAAGGCATATTTGTACACAACAAGTTCTCTAGTGTTTCTGTAAGTCATTGACATCCAACAGATTTATTGGCTCTGCTCCTTTGCAGCCTCAGGAGGCAAGGTTTTCTTTCCACCTTGCACCACTGGAAGCAAGTCCCAGTGCACGAGGCCAGGGATCAGAGTGTTCACCTTCTGTGGGAAGGCTGAGCATCGGAATGCCAAAGCAGAAGTGAGAATGAGTATGTTGAGACATACAAATGTATGTTCATTGAGAGAGATTGCTGTACCACCAGAAAAGGAGATCGGCTAGATTCTTCTCTGTAAGGTTATGAAGTTGATTCCACTGTGCCCTATTAAGTAGAAATGACTCTGGAGCCTCACTGAAGGAGTCTGTGACTTGAACATCACTGGAGTTGGTTGCAATTTAAGTTTGCTCACCAGGGCAGAGTAGCCCTCTTAAAAGAATAGCATCCCTACACATCCACTTTATAAAAATACTTAAAAAAATCACAATATATTATGAACTTACACAAAAACTCTCTACTCCCTCTGGAAAAAAAAAAATGATAGAAAAGACAACTCTGAACATCTTCAGATGAATAGCTAGGTACTCATACCGTTGCTTTTCAATGCAGTCTGAGGTAAATAAGAGAGCTGCAAAGAGAAGAATTAGACAGCTTTTTCAGCACTGCGAGGAACAATCTGTAGAAAGCTATTCTGTCAACAGAAGTAAAGTTTCCACCTGCAGCTTTATGCATTTGGCAAACAGAACTAGTGCACTTCTGCAATGTTATTTTAGGACATGAAGAAATGCATCCCAGAGCTGATCTTCCACTGACTGCAACAGATCAGCAGCTTTGTCAGAACTGCACAGTAGAAACAAAATTATGGTCATCAGGGCAGCGAACAGAAYGTCAAGTGAAAACATTTAAAGCGAAGAGCACCGGTAAAGTCCTTCCCCTCAAAATAGGGGCTATGTAGAAGACTTGTTTCTGCACATTCCAATCTTCTGCTGAAAATATTGTTAGCATAGTTTACCTACAGATGACTTCATAATAAAACTAAGATCTGACCTGAAAAAAAAGGTCTGTCCTGAASCAAGTCATATACTTGTTGCTCATAGACCACACATTGCTCCGCTCTTTGCAGCATGCAGAAAAACACACATTGGCAATACCTCCTGTCCAACTCCACAGGATAAGATTTTTTTTTTTAAAAAATAAGGGGGAGATAAGCCACTTCCACAAGAGCATCTCAGTGCTCCTCCATACAATCTTTTTATACCCCCCCACCCACAAAGGAGAGTTGTCTAGGAAGCCTTCAACCTGCTGAATTGTCACTAATGATTGCCACAAGCAACTAAATTCCAGCTTCCTTTCTAGGCATTCCTGGTTGTAGCAAATTGCAGATGTAAAAAGCATTACAAAGCAGAGTGGACTTAGGCAAGTACTCCTCCAAAGTGAGAGCAATACGTGCAGTACAGGAACAGTTGTGAAAGTGCTGTTCTAAAGCCAAACTTACTACAAAGTGCTCTCCAATCTAGGTTTAGACACGTTATTTTCATTTTAATAATACAGCTGTTCTTCCTGCAGTAATAAAATAGTAGTAAAATGCCAATATTACATGGGTCACGTTAGTAATGGAGAGAAAATAGCCTTGCCAGCTCTGCAAATGTACTGTACTTCTAGATTCCAGCAGAAGAGAATAGTTAAACAAATATTCACACAGGATTAAAGCTTTGTGCTTTCCTTCTTCTTGGAGAAAGCAAAGATTTAAATGCCATTGCTCCTAAAGAAGAAAAAAAAAAAATCTCCTCAGAGCACATGCAAGCTGTCTTGAAAAAGTGAATTTCTATTCTAACACTAAGAATGGATACAAATGGAAAGGACAGACCTTTCTCAAGGCAAAACTGAACTCTCCTGCCAACAAAACAGGGTGCATCTAAGTCATATTTTCCTTAAGATCTCACATCACAGACTTTACTGTCTAAACCTGTTACACATTACCGTCCAAATAATGATAAAATCATTAAATATAGTTACTTTCTTTCATGGCACTTCTCACTAAAATCACAAGATACAATAGAAAGATTTGTGTTTATTCTATTCAAGACCTTTAAAGATATTCTCTTATAACTGGACTTTGCCCTATCAACTGAACTTTTATTTTCAAGTACCTTTAATCTTTCCTAACATGCAGAAAGGAAATTTCCACAGCAAAATATAGGCATTTAAAAAAAAAAAAAACCCGAACAAGAGAAAAAAAAACAAAAACAAAGGCAACAGAAAGTTGTCATAGCTACTTGCCTCTTGGCAATTTCTGAGCATTTCCCAGGGTTAGTGCAATATGTCCACAGAAAAGGAGAAAGAGCAGTCTCTCTACCATGGCTACAAAGCCAGCCTCAGGCTCTGAGAGGTGCTGAGCAGGGCTGATCCCACAAGGTGCTGCAGCTGCGGCTGCGAGCGAGCTGCTCTCCCTGGGACAGAGGCAGCACCCCTTTGACACGAGCTTGGCTTACTCAGTGGGAGGAGACAGGATGACATCACCCCCGCTTGCTGAAAAAGGAGAATTAGCCTAAAAAAAAAATAAATAAATAAATAAAATAAATAAATAAATAAAAAGTCAGGCAGGCAGTTTTAGACTCCCCCTAAAAAACCTCCTGGGCTTTGTTACAGCGTCTTCGCGGCTCTCAGAGCAAGCGATTAACGTAGATGATCGCTCACAGTTCATGCAGATAAAACCAGCTGCACATCAAAACCTCTCAAAGCTGGAAACTGCTAGGGGAGACAGTTTCACTCTTTTGTCCATGGAAGCTGAACTTAAAATGCAAGATTAATATTCATATGACTCAGGGAAAAAAACCTTTGTATTCTTGAACCCTGTACTTCTGCGAAGTCAAGATTTTGCTTAAGTTTAATCTAGGCTATATATTACTTTCCTTCATGCAATATAGAAAGTAATTTCTGAATGAAGCCAGCAACTGGTATGATAAACACTTATTCAGTGAAAAATCTGTGTTTGTAAAATAAATRTTACTTTTCACATGCTTATTTGATTTTGCCTGTTTAGAAGTATTTTACATTTCCCCCTTTCATGCAAGCCTGCTGAGACAATGAGCACAATGCACGGTAAAAGCTAAGAGGCAACAAGTTTTCCTGCTTGAGCTGTATCCTCGTGCCAGCCACATTCATGGAACTGCTTTTGCATTTGCAGTCACAGCAGCCGTTTCACTCAGTGTTTGCACTGATCCGACTCAGTGCAACACGGAGATGCTGGGAGGGAAAGGGTGAAACGACAGAAAGGAGATAAAAAGGTTTACAAGTGAGTAAGGAAGAATTTAGTTTCAGTATCTGGGAAACATCTCTTCAGAGCAATTAAAACTATGAGATTAAGTACTGGTATCTTTCACTCACTCTTTCATGCTCCCTCTCACTTGTTTGCTCTTTCACACTCTCTCACTTGATCTTTCGCATGCTCTTGCTTGCTCAAAAATAAACAGTCAAAACAACCAAAGAAACAAGCAACTATCCATCTCTKGCAATGCATAAAGCTCTGCATTAAGCGTGGTGACCTCCTGACAGCGTGGTACCTCCTGACAGCGCTCCTCGCATGCACTAAGTACTCAGTAAGCAGAGAAAATCACCTCCTTAGAGCCTGGGCTCAACAGAAATACAAAGGGGTCCAAAACAAAAAAAAATGTAGTAACATGTAGGCATACGGGAGCATTTCTAAAAGTTCACTTCAGTACTGTATTTAAAAGATCCCATCTACTCCGTATTTTGGAAAGAGTAATTTCAAAAGAGAAACTAACWGTACTAGTCCTAGAGACTGATACAAGGAAATTGAAGCTCTTTCAGCTCAGTATGGACAGCACACAGCTATAAAGTTTTAGAGTATGACCATATGATCTTGTTTTAATGCTGGCAATAGTTAAACCTTTCCTGATTCACCAGCTCAGATCTGGGAATAGTGAGTTGGAAGGTAATGTTATACATAGACCCTTATCAAAAGCCTCATTCGGGAACAACTCAAGCATCTTTGAGAGGATTCAGATTTCAAAAGTGAGTTGTTTCCTACAAACATGAAGAACAGATATACACAACAGCTACAATTTGGCTAAGAAAAAAAAAAGGTGCTGAAATGTCCAWAGAGACATGGACATAGACTCCATGGATAGGAGACTCTCAAAACACTGACCTGACCACACCTGTTGGCAAACAAGTTTCAAAAAACAGAGAACCGGATACACAGAGCAAATGTGTTTTTCTTCTATTTTTATTTAAAAAGCGCAATTTGGAAATACATATTTTGGAAAATTCTCTGCAAAGCACATTCTGTTTGTTCCTCTTCAAAATTAAAAATAAGAACCCAGTCATTTGTTAGAGTAATCTCTCAAGAGAAGTAATGRAATACTGCTGCTTGGTTACAAACAGCTGTTTATATCATATATTATTATTACTTATTACATTATATAATAAATATAGTTATATATATAAACATATTCATTTAYATATATAAATACAATTATATATATAATATATTAATATATTATATATTATTATTACTTTCAAGGTGCACTGCATTCCTGAATCTTCTACAAATATCACAAGATACCTTTCAACAAGACATAAAATTAGCCAATATCTATTCAGAAAAACCTTAGTGAAAGGTGTTACTTATTTGACTATGTAAGAAAATAGGTTTTAGACCCTCTCAAAGAAATAAATTTGCTCCTGTTYCTGCTTTCATAATCACTCTCCTGCTGCTCCTTTCCTTTTCTGATTTTTTGAAAAAAAAATCTGAAAAAATCCTGATATCTGAAAAAAAAATCCTTTTTTTTTTCTTTCTCCTTTGGGTATGCTCTCCACACTTTTAAGCTTCCCTCTTGAAACCCTGGCAGACTCATTGRGTCTCTTTCCCTCTGATCACTTCCACAGAAAGAAGCTCTGGTCAGCCCTGATTTCCACGACTCAAGTCACTATGTGTTTCCTTCCATCACACCAAACACAGGCTTCAGCAGAGATAATTACAGTTTGATAAGCAAATGCTAGCTTAAATTTCTGTCAACTATATGACAGAAGTTCAAAATCAGTATATGACATTCCTCTACACTTTCCAACTGCGCTCCCTGCTTCTGCATCATCCATCTATCCATCTGTTATTTTGCTCATGTATTTTCTCACATGATGGACTTCTGCGGAGAATTTTGGTTGGAAGAAACAAACGGGGRAAAAAAAAAGCAAACTGAATTCTGCTTTCCTCTTTTCTAAGTTTTTCTGTTTACTGGACACTGATTATGGCAGAGACAAAAACGAACACAGGAAGAGAAGGGAGTTCCTGAGACTTCCATCTCTATCCTGCGCTCTTGGGCATATCTGCAGTTCTGCTCAAGTATCAGATTTCTCCCCTTGTTGGGGTTKCTCCACAATTTCCATTTAAGTAGAGGCGGCATCTGTTTTTGGTTTACCAAAATAAAAGCTGGACCTCACACTTCACAGCAGAAATTATCTAACCCAGAAGTTCTTCAGGTTACTCTCATCCACACAAATCTTGAATGATATAACCCTTCCTTTGACTGTGGAGATCATGTCAGAAGTGAAAGGCTAAATGTGGAAGGGTCATTTCACACCAGTTTTTTCATTATTATGCTTAAGTGCAAAAGACAAGAAAAAAATAGGTAAAAACAATTATGGAAAAATCCCAAACAGATTAAAATCATTCAGGAAATGTAATGCAAAAGCCAAAAATGCTGATTTTCCCTCCTCCTCCTCTTCAGTGCCGAATTAACATTTAAGTAACAATTTCAAGTACTCAAAAGCCTATTTGCTTACCTCAGCTTCAAGTGAGTCTCGCTAGGGTAGATGCTCAAAGACAGAGATTCCAACAAGATGGTATCACAGCTAATCTGGGCACAGAACAAAGTTTTTCTAGTTCTATTCTGATATTTCCCAGACCAGCAAGTACAGTGAAAACATGAATATGGTCTGAAGAAAAAAATAAAGAAAGAAAGAAGAGRGGGACAGAACAGGCAGATGAGCAGGAGATAGGATTTTACACTTTTTTCCAAAAAAATGGGCTCAGCTCTGATTCACCTATCATTCCTGATTATTTTGACAAGCCAAACCTAGCTGACTCAACTTCTTCCTGTTCTAATTTAAAGCAGAAGGAGAGTCTGTAAAACATGACCTTAAAATTATAATCTTATCTTCTTTGAATAACATACAATAATGCTGTACTTAGAGACTTACTTGCAGTATRCTTGCTCTTTTTCACTTCATTCCTGGTTTGCACTGAACCCTTCACCAGAGCTGTCTATTAAATAGAGTGGTGCCTTTGGGATAAAATATGCTATATAGATGTTAATTACAATTTTCATTTTCTTGTGTGTGACTCATTTATTGGACTCCTTTTCTTATAAATCTGTCACAGGATCTGCTAAAGGCCTTCAGGAAAAGAAAGATGCCAAAGAACATTCTTTCAGATGTGCTGCTTAAAAAAGAAAACAAAGAAAAATGAAAACCCTAACCCTACTCTTCTGAGAGATTGCAATTGCTTTTCCTTTCCTGCTCTCCCACTCTTATGAGCAAGCCTTTGACCTCCCAAGGTATAAAAAATACAATCATATTGCACGTCAATTTATTAGTAAAAATAAAGTACCTCRTTTGAGAGCAAGCAAATGACAATGTCAGTGCATGCTGGTATCCTGATCCCAAGCTAAGTGCCAGATTTCAAAATTACTGTAATCAGAGACAAAGTGAATGGAAAGAAATCAGCCAAAAAGGATGGACAGAACAGCTGGTTCTTGTGAATTTTTGCTACATAGTTTATCAGACTTTTCCAGCACTCACTCTTTTGACACTTGTAATCTCAGACAGTGACTCATCTTTATTAACAGGCTGTGTATTTCCCCAAAGTTTTGTAGGACATGGAATAACAAAAGCATTTAACTTTTTTTGTGAAGTTATTAACTTATTTTACTACACTTTGCTACACAAAGTGTATTATACTACACTTTCTTCAGCAGCTTTCTACTGCTCAATGTCATTACTTAATATATTAAGACAGACAGCACATTTCCAGACTTTATGCTGACAATGCACCGAGTTATCATACTTTGTATTGTTTTACTTTGGGCTTATTTTGCTTTTAAAAATATTCCAAAATTTTCTATTCTAAAATTCTGTATTTACCTCCCATTTTTTGTGGGTTTTTTTTTTTTTTTTTTTTTTTTTTTTTTTTTTTTTTTTTTGGCATTATAAACTGCATTGTCACTTTTCAAAAAACACCTGGAAAGACTCCCATTCAGCTATATCACATATCCTTACCCCAGTTCATTCAGAGAGTCTGGTACAACATAACATTTGTCCTTACACTGACAAGGCTTCCATAATCTATAATCTGCACT